GGTGATTACAAGTTGGGAACAAGTCTTATCAGTTTAAGTGCATCTTATTTATTGATAAGGTAATTATCAAATATATGTCTTGAGAAACAAACCCAACACACCAGAAAAAGAAAACCAAGAGAATTTGACACCCATCCACTCCAGCCTAGAAGCAAAGCCAGGTTTTCAAGGATTTTTGGAATACCTGCAGAGTGCCAGGTGAATCTTTGAGAGCATGCTATTTCAAAGGGCAGGTGCTGCAATCATATATGATAATAGGAGGGACTTCCATGAGTAACTGCAGTATAATGCACAAGATAAAGGAAAGCTACTCAAGGATGCCTAAGTGGCATAATGAAAACGAGAGAAGATCAGAGAAGGATTCATTTTTAATGAAAAGGGCAAATGAAAAACAGCATTTGAAAATTATGCTCTAATTTTGCATTGAATCATCAGTTTTGAGTGCCTATCTTCACAAGAACTTGCATAGTTTTTACTGTTTTCCTATATTAGGAAATCTTTACACTATATCTATCATCTCTTCCAAAGTATAGCATAATAAAAAAAGTCAATTTTATGTTTTTAAAAAACAACATTCACCAATTTCATGTTTGTAAAAAAAAAATTTATATTCCCTTTAATCAACCTTATTATATAGGTTAACTTTTCATACTTTATCACAGAAACTGAAAAAGAAATTAATTTGAACATAGTGATACAATATATATACTTTGTATTTTAAAGGAAATATTTCAGAATCTCCAATATAAAGATAGACTTGAAAATGTATACGTGTGGCTAAATTTCCAGAGATAAATGACTGAACATCAGTATCATGAACAGCACCTAATCTTCTCAATTGTGATTATAAGAAAAAATTACAAACTGAGACTATGAAAACACAAACACACATACACACACACACACACACACACAAACTGCTAATCCGCTTTTCTTAGCACATGGTTTTTAGAAGAGAATATGCAAGCTGTTTATCTGGCAAATCTGTGCTACAAAGGCCTGGCTGCTGAATATCACATGGCAACCAACTTTTGCTATGAATTTTGATGAGATATGTAAATAAATGGCATCTATTAACTTCCTCAGCATTATTTGTTTCTGGTCAGAGATCTGTTGGAATAATGTAATTATATGCCATATAAAACTAAAGAATATGGACCCTGAGTAAAAAATGAAGATAATAATTAGATTATTTTCTCATCAGCTTTATTATTATTGCATTCTGAATGTTTTAAATCATATATACTTAATAATCTGTAAAACAACTGCTTAAAGAATGCTAGTATTATTCCCACTGGGAAGAATGGGATGGCAGGTGTGCTATTTATTATGTTCTCGTAGTGAAATTTAGTCTCTTAGTCTCTATATTAAATCTGTAATCATTTTAAAATACAATGCATGTATTGTGTTTTTGCAAGTTTTTCTATAGTTAGTAATATGCAAGAAAGGTAAACTGCATTTCTTATATTCATAAAGAATAAGTATGTCTATAAATTTTATATAATTTGAAATCATTTCTGTCGATAATAAAAATAAACGCCAGGTCAAGACTTCTTTTAATGACTTATAGAGTATGCTCTTTCATAGAAATCAATGTATTTTGGAAATAAAAAAACATTCTGCAAACAATAATTTAGCACTCCAGTACTTATTGGCAATTCTTTTGAATTTCTATTTTTGCATTCTTTTTCATTCTTTTTACACATATTTATGATGCAGAAAATACTAATTCTGTACATCTAACTGTGTCTTCAGACAAATATATGCTAAGGGACCAGCAATGTATAAACAGGAATGCATAAGTCATTCTGGGGGGGGGG